TAGATTGTGACGCATGTTTATGGGCTGGGCACGTACCCGTATTAGGGCGTACCGCAGCAGTAGTAACACCTATCAATTTTGGACCTGCGAACATTCCTAGATGATGGAGGTTGTCGGCTGAGAAATCTGATCGGCTGAGAAATCTGATCGGCTGAGAAATCTGATAAACAAGGTAAGTAATCGAAGACCCTGTGTCTTAGTCTACGTATAAATCGACTTTTCCAGCTTACACTTCTACTTCCAGGCAACAGAAAACAATTAGCCAGGCACTCTATTTACATTTATTCTTTATTTATTTGCCAGTTTTCTTTACATATGTAAACAAACGTAACAATCATCTGCGGAGTGAAACAGATTGCGCGAAAACGCCACATTGCATCCCTCATGGATTCTTATTATATTTGCTGGTATCATTCTACACAAATGAAAATAATCTCGTCTCGCTGTAAGCCATATTGATATACGGGTGTAACCTTTATATTATAGCGATGGCTCCGACACGCTCATATTCTGTGTTTTTCATAGCCCGTTATACGTAGTACTCGAATACACCATTGTTACTTCTAGTATAATCAATATTACACAATCACAGTTTGCATTTGTGATCACACGTGTAGAACTTAAATCCACAAATAGGAATAATTTCACCTTTCACCTTTGTCATAGCAGGCTTCGTCGATTTATGTTCCCTATGGGCATTTTATTGTATGGTCCACGATATACATTTATAGTCGACACAGAGTCACCTGAGCAATGTACATTTCTCATTCATATAGCCCAAACCTAACACCTCGTAATCTTTAATGGAGTGTCCCGTGTTTTACACTAATGGAAGGTGAATTACGTGACGACCGTAGGATGACATAGAAAGACGATCCCACTGAAACCACGCGGACGAATAGCTTCGTTCTTGTAATCAGAAATATATTTTGACGACTTTAGTAATTAATACCAATAAGTACAATTTAATTGCAATGAAAAACAGTACTGTAGAATTTCGGAACTTTCATCACACAGAAATGCTTAAATTGTGGGTTTCTGAGGATATATGGTTGGTATATATTTTGCAAGAATTAGTATGTACTAGTATATCAATAAATTGTAACGATATCACTATCTTAACCCAAACCTGAATATGTCGCGTGGGTATATTATACGTGTTATGACACGCATGGAATCAGACATCGTGTAAGTAAACCTAACGCTGCATGTCGCCTATGAGTTCTCTAATATTGTTCTAGATTGTGCTTCGTGTTGTTTTAGTTAAGTATGTCAATACGATCTCCCAAATCCCTTAACAATATCTTTAACAATAAACCGTTCTCGAAAATCAAAACACACTTTACTTTGACTCAAAATAATTTCAAAATAAATCGTTGAATAATTAATGTGTTTATTTTTCAGAACATGAATACAAGTCACTATCCTCAAATATTTCCGAATCATAAATTCGTTTCATCTCGAACTTGACCAACCTTAATACTGAGTAAATCATGGCTGCACCGTATGAACGTTTCACAAACGGCGACGACGACGGATGTGACACCACACAACGGAGTGAGGGCGCACTGGGCGACATTGCATATTCAGTCCGTTATCTGCACTCAGATTATTCTAACGATAACGAATTGAAGGATTCCACACCATCTAAAAGAGACGGTATCTTTCCAATATTATTTCCACCGAAAGGAGACCCTTCATCGTATGTCAACGACACAGTAACTGATGATGAACCACGCGTATGTCAAGTTCACACAAGTGACACGGTTCAGAATGGTGAGGTAGTTGTTGATGTCTCCACGGTAAGCTACATTTGGTTAGGTATCAACATGCAGATATATGGCCAAGATATATAAACATAATATTTTAATCGATTGTAGTGTCAGTGATGCTATATGTAACTTTCGTGCATACCAGGTCATCGTTACCTGTCAGAGTTGAAGATATGAATTATTCTGTGTTTTTCATTTAGATAACCAGGCCGAAAAAACGCATTTTAGCACCAGTGCAGAATCCTCCTCCTGATTACCTGGTATGTTCTGTCTTTATTATGTTATTTTGCTGCCCGCTATTTGGTATATATGCGTTACATCAGTCGTTAGCGGTGAGTAGATGGTCTTCTACTGTATATGTTTCATTAGATTTGTGTACAGGTTTGTGAATGTGAAGATGGGCGTTTTCCCTGAGACCATGGCTACACAATCACACGGTGTCGCGTACGACCATTGAATGATGCTGTTTTCAACATGACGTAGTATAATGTTATATTAACTGAATGTATGCTAATCACGTTTCAGTCTCGTAAAGCCGCTGAAGCCGGTCACCGAGGAGCAGCCAAGATGGCCAGCAAGTCTGCTTGCAATGCAATGTTTATGGGATTTCTTTTTGGAATATTGATAGAGATTGTTGTAGTAGTGGCATTGATTGAAACTTTCGGATAACGGTCGCCATGGTGATTCGTTATATTTTTATACTTTATATTTTTATGTAATATTGAAAGTTGTGTACCAGAATTTAAAAACAAATTAGATTGAATTTCACCGTGGATAAGCTGGTTTGGGTATATTAACTTCATATTTTACGATGCCACGGATAACATAACATAAATCACCAAACCAGCGATTAATTAACAAATACTTTGAACGTGTAAAATGTATTAGTTTACACGAAACTCGGAATTTAATTATTGTCAATTCATGGATGCACATATATTCGCCGCGGGCACTTTCTAGTTGCGAAGTCATGATAAATTGTTTACAAAAGAAACGAAAGTGAACCACGCAAATGCGCACGATGTTTGATGGCGCCGTAGAAAGTATGCCCTTATTTTAAATGGCCGGTTATGAAATCGATGCGTGTGTACATGTCTCTATGTACCACGTGAAAATTGCCAAACATATTAATATACATGTATTATCTGCTTACAATTTAATGCAATATTATAATGTCAAGATAACTCGTACAAATTCTGAATAAAATCTGATGTGGCTAATTTTTTTCTCATAGTTAATTTATTGTGAATGCACGTGAAGTGTTCTACGCGTGTTTGCAAGAGTGCGTGTGTCGCAGTAGATATCAGAAGCACATCCGTGTTTCGTTATATTTCATCTCTCGTGGGCATATGAATCAAATTTAATTCCCCTATGTATTAAATGAACTCTGCATACTGCGCATTTACTGCTGTAATTGATTCCGGAAGATGGTTCTACTCAGTAACAGAATGGCCGTAATAATCGCAATAGTGAATGTAAGTGAAAATCGTAAATGGTTGCTGACATCTCGTTGAAAGCGAGAGCTGCGAGATTTGCTTTTCCCTCTCAATCGTGTTCAATTTTCTCGCGTCATCACTCCCACTGTTCCAAGGACCATGGTTCAATAGGTCAAAGACAACAGTGAATGTGATGACGGGAGAGAATAACACATTATAGATCTCGCGTAATGCCTGAAACACTCGGTTCGAACGTCTGCCACAATAGTTCGTCAAAATTGACCATTCATCATATGTGTGTAGCACATTTTTAAGCGTGGAAATAACCCGAAAATATGTATGTCGAATGCTACGTGATGTTTTGACGTCACTTCAATGCTATGCCCTTTGTTTTTTCCAGTTTGATTTCATGCATGACGCAGTATTTCGCAGTGAACTGAAAATCATCTATTTGAGGGGTCGTGTCTTACTCACTCTAAACGATATCTCAGATATGTATAGCATATTATTAGGGAGTATCTCGAAAAACGTCTGCGTGCCGAACCATCTGAATAACTATTGTACGTGAATAGTATAACACTTTGTTCTGCATTGGACGAAAACACTAATTGTACAGTTTGCACTGGCATACAAGTCACGACTCATATTTAATGTCATGGAAACAAAATAATTGTCTACTAACTGTTCAGTATGGTCATTACTGTAAAATAAACCGTTACCATGACAGGTTATAATATTTATATATAGCTGACCCAATTTAACGAATGGTCAGTCAAGTAAAACCATCAATGTGTCGATAGCAAAGCGATGGTATATCAGTATCCAGCACATTGTTCTTATTACGCATTTTAGCTTTTCATTTTTAACAGAGAAGTAAATTCTTTCATATCACACATTTTAGAAGCTCAGTATAATTAAGTAGTGTAATAAATTGTGATAATTGTTGATATTCTCACATTATTTAATTACATTCTCTGGCCTTGTCTTGTAGACAACAAATTCAAAAATATTTGAATATCAGTGGTTTCACGTTATACATCTTCGCTAGCTAAACAGACCTTGGCAAAACGACCATCAAATATGCGTATTCTAACAGCGCCACCAGTAGTCAGTTGCGGCTAATCATTGTCTAATCAGTTTGCGTGTTACAAATCCCTCTTTGGCGTTTCATTTTAAACAAAATGGCGGGGCCCATGAATCGTGATATTTGTGATGATAAAAGTTTTCGGTGTTGGTGCCCTCAAGCCTCATCAGGTACAGGCAATCGATGCAGTTTTGGTGGGAAGGATGTCTTCATAGCGACAAAAACAGGAAGTGGAATTTTGTTATAATTTGGTACGTCCAAGCTGATTGGGCGCCTTGTTTCGAGGCGCGCCCAATCAGATCTCACTGCTTAAGATATGCAATTAGCCTATGCGATCCCGCACACGGTATCGTGTAGAGGCCTATAGGTCAAAGACACGGGACTGTGCGATTCGGACGATGCACGTTATATGTCTTGAATGATGTAGTAATGTCGTTTTCCCCGTTCGTTAAACATCACGAGTTTAATAAATCTTATATTCTGAATTCACTCATGAGATATTATTTGTTAACTTTAGAAACAAAAGGCATATATGAATATATAAATTTTATAAGCTGCTATGCAACCAAAAATGTACGTAAAATTCTAGTACACTAGTATGAAATCTAATCATTTCATTAACGTAAGTTTGAAAACATACTAAATAACCGTTATAATTCTTTCGCTCAAGTCGTTCTACTATTTGAAATGTTATCAAGTAATATATGCATTATGGAAAGTGCATTTATACAAAGTAAAACAAAATACACAAAGTGAAATAGCAATCGATTTCCGTTCAAATATATATCATGCGAACATTCTCCAATTCCTTACACTGCAGCCTTTGATAACACAGTTCTAGACGTTCGAAGTTCAGATACCTAGAATGTAAATGTGAGGAGAAACCTATTAGGAAAGGGAATTTATTTTATTGAATAAATATATATTCACACTACTAGTATAGTAGATTATATGTGAGCTTTATGAAATCGTGGCTATTTGTGTAATAACATCATTGACAGTTTAAAAACATGTTATCACAAATCGTGGGTATGGCGTCATTCAAGTAAACCACATTTACATTTGCACAATATTCAAGCGGTACAACTTACTAATTAATAAGTAGAATAACATATGCATACATTTGTTAAAGAATCCTTAATTGTTTTGGGGTAAATTGTTATTTAAGATTCTCGACGAACCAGATTAACGTCATTGATGTCACTAGTGACACACAACCGTCTTCATACAATGACTGTTTTCACCCAATATATCTACCCACGATGCCTTGCAGTACATGCACTCAAGCACTGTTGATCTTCGTCAGAATTTATTGTAGAAACACTGGGAGAATTACATCAGCGGAATTGACCTTAGCTCTCTTTCTCATTCCTGTATAGATTTGTATAACATAGGCACACATATTTGAAAAGAGCTACAAAACAAATATTTTGTTTTACAATAGTTATTTTTCGACCTGTGCTACTCTGTATACTTGTCATACGTTTTGTTAGGAAGAGTTGGGATTTATTCCAGAGATTGAATGCATCATCAACAGAATACAGAGTAGTAGGGTATTAACTATTGTTCTGAATGTATTTGACCATCTGTTTTATAGCTATTTAACAACAACATATAGATCTCTAAGACATATGCATATGCATTTTACCTTGCGCCCGTTCGCAAATAAATTGGGCATTCCACTCAGTGCTGATGATGTCATTCCACACAGCCGGAGGGGCTCCATCACGCATATCCAACGATAGACGATGTTCGTTGCCCGCGTAATTATTAGGCTCACCGCTTTTCCATGCATCATATGAGAGAATTGTATTATCGAGACATACCCATGTGCCTTCATTCTACATGTATTAAATAATAATTATATTTGTCATCATTACAAGATGTAATCAATATTCAACCGTATCATTGGAAAAAAGTTGACAAGTAATATATGTATTATGAGTATAGATTCAGGGCACATACTTATTTTAAATAAATGAAGATTTGAATTATCTGTTGATTTTGCGAAAACTAATTGCGATTTTTGAAACTAATACAAACTATAACCACAGTAATTACGATGTACAATACCTCTACGTCAGTACAGCCAAGTAACCACATAGCTAAACCAGGCACAGGGTGAACATACTTTCGTAATGGATAACATTGTTCGTATAAGTACATGTTCTCAGCAGGCGTATTCGGAACTGCTAAGTAGGCGTTCATGGTATTACAATGTTCAGCTGCCTCGTCCCAATTCATCAACACATCACTTGGACTGAACCAGTAGCACGATGACTGGAAAGGTAACCATTCGGGTGGACACATGCCTGTGTGGAGAAATGAACGTGTCCCTTATTGCGACGTTGTTATACATATAAGAGCACTGGTATGCATTTGATGTTGAAAAGTTGTGGTAAACATGTTTTACAATTACGTTTCCTAAATGTACAGCATTCTACCAAATCTAAAATCGTTGATTCTTTTATGGTGGTTAGAATTTCCAAAATGGCATCATATATCAGTACCAGCTCATTATCATATCACAAAACGGCTTGTGACTGGAATTGTATGACGAGTCGGACGAATACTGATAAATAATATCGTCCGACCGACAATGGTACAATACCATCCCAGCATATGATGTATTTCGCAATGTTGCCCTGCGAATCCCTCGCTACATTGGCACGTGTAAGTAGTAATGCCATTGTTGCAGTCGCAACCATTCTGGCAATGATTTAGATCACAGTGATTGACCTTTTAAAAGAAAACAAACACAAAGTAGTTATGTACATTTAATGAAAAAATAGACATATCATTATTGGGTTCGTTTCACAGTCGATCACATATAAACGTATCCAAGAGGCCATAGTGTAGTATTATGTCATTCGAGTCTAAATTGTGCGGTAACAAATGTGTAAAAGATTGAGCCCACTTGAAGAATATTTCTTGCATGCTGTGATTTTCCACACATATAGGAGAACGGTCACACTTATAAGAGTTAATAGCATTTTCACACTTCCTATGAATTATTTGTTTACGATGATCACCTAAAATGTTGTTGCATTATGCCTTGTACAAACAAACTGTTGGGTCTAGAATTG